ATAATTATTCCATATCATATTTAATACACTGTAGTGTTATATGTATTTTAATATTACTTTCTGTGATACAGTATTTTCCCGATCACTGTTTGTTATTATTTTATTGCAAACCGTTATTGTTACAGTTGTTTGCAGTATAACTTACAGTACGACTGTAACAATTAAATATCTTCAGGAATTATACGCACTTCGCTGTGCCATTATTTTGATATCAATCACTACTACTCCAAAACTGTTTGTTTTAGTACAAAAATTAAAGGATCAGTAAGGGAAATTACCTTTTTCTTAACTAATTGTAAAAAATTTCAATTTTTTTAGAATTTTTAATGAATTTTTAATTATTAATTATTAACTTGTCTTAACTCATTCTTAATCATACATATTATTTCTCTCAACTCTGTAGCTTAATTCTTTGTGTTTGCATATCATTTAATTTGCTTACCATCAAAAATTCTATCATTCCTTTGCAGGATTATACTTGAATTTAAATAAATTTTTTCAATTTAAAAGATTATATTCTAGTTTTTCTGAAATACTTCTAACATCATTTAGCGCATTGGAAATAATGGTTAAGTAATGCTTTTCTGATTTTCATTTCAAGATTTTTAAAATAATTTTAATATTTTTTTGGAAAAATTAGATAGTATGATTTAAAGATGTTAATCGAGATGGCATTGAAACATTTTTTGGTGACTACTTTTTGTCCAATTTATTGCATTTTTCGAACCTACACATTAAATTGATGAAATTTGTGAAATTAAAATTTTCAAATAATGTTAAAATATGCTTGTTTGATAACTGAAATTGCCACATAAGAATAATTTTTTCTGTATGTGAAAATCAAAAAATTAATGAAATAAATAGAAGATAAAAATAACATCCCAAATAAAAAAATTCTGGAACTGTTTATTTGGAATTAATGAAAACCGGATTAATTTATTAATTGGCAATTTTAAATTAAATTTTATAACAAAAAAATGTTTTGAAAGAAAGCACTAAATAAAATAATTGCATAAAATTATTTAAAAAAATTAAACATATCTATCAGTTTAAGGCTATAGAAAGTCAATAATTTCCCTATGAAAAGGTATGAATATCATTTGAATAAGTGAGATTTTATTATTGAAATGTAATGTTCAAGTCGACAAACTTTTCACGAATATTAAATTCATTTGCACCGTTGGATAAAACTGCAATAGCAAAATTATTCTCAAATGCACTTCTAAAATTTAATTTTTATTGTCAGTTTTTCTTTGCCAAATTTCCAAATAGCAAATTGAGGCTGAATTTAATGAATAATCAATATTCTAACTTAATAATGCCAATATAATTTTCAATTTTCGCCAAGCCATCCTTTCCATTTTTCAGCCATTTATTTGAAAATCGAAAATTGATAATATTAGGGCGCAAACGTTCAATGCCAGCAAGTTGAAATAGGCACTGAGCGCAGTATATTACAATACAAAAAGCCAATTCTAAGCAAAATTTGAGGACGATAATTTCTTGTATGCTCAACATTATTTGATAATTTCACTAAAATATTTGATGCAATGCGATAACGTACCGCAACTGTTGATGGTCCCAATTAATATCTAATTATAATTGATATGATTAATCTGACAGGTATTATCAAGGAAGGAGCAATATTATAAATCAAAAATCTTTTTTTTTGGTCTAAACTATCTATAAACAACCTAATGTTAATTAAACAATCATTTTGATTAATTTATTGCAGAAGTTATTTATTACAAAAGTTATTTATTACAGAAGTTATTTATTACAGAAGTTATTCTAAGATTAGGTTTGTTTTGCTAATAGTATGAATTAAAAAAAAAGAATGAAAACTAAAATATTTATTTATTTTTTTTGAAAATTGGCAAGTTACTATTGATTGCAACTAATATGTTTTATTTCATATTTTCTTTTCTAAAAATTTACAAATCAAAGATTTCTTACTCCCTTTAAAAATTTTTTACAACTTTTGCTTAATTCCATTACATTATATATTTTTCTCCAGATAGAGATGAAAATATTCAATTTTCGATAGAACTTAATCTTATTTGTTGCTGCTATTATTATCGCTATTGCTAAATTCAAATGCAATAATGATTGAAAAGCGATTGAACGGTTTGCAAAAAGCAAAAAAAGATATCAGATATTGAAAAAAGTGAAAAAAGATATTAAATTTGATACCAACATGTTCTCTTAACAGATAAACAAAAGTCATAAAAAAGAAGACAAATATGAGGGCGCAATAGCCATGAAATAATAATCATAACTGTAATGCAAATACTGACACCAACTAGCGATAACCACATGTTGTAGAAACGGAAAGATGACTGAAATCCTATAATTTTCAAAAATTAGAAATCAAACAATAAACTTCATGCTTTATTATTGCCGCAATTTATGTGATGAACAAAGAAAAAAGAATAAAACAAAAAGTAAATGTGTATAGAGAATTAAAGAAAAAAGATTTAAACCAGGCGATTTAATAAATGAAGTATAGTGGTAAAGATTTTGAAAACACGATCCGATAAAAAATTATATAACATAAAAAATCAAGAAAGTAGAAGAAAAATTTCTTTTTTGAAAAACAACGGTTTAAATATAATTTTAAATCAAGAATATTTTGAAAAATTAAGTATGTCATATAATGATACCTAAAAAGGAATTTTTTTATTGAAACAATATGGAGGAATTATCAAGAAAACTTCATTCATAACAAAAATTAAATTTCGCATCGATAAATTTTATTTAATAGTTCACAAATTCTTGTCCATCAAAAAATGCTTAATTTTGCATCAAAAAATCTTATTGAGAGGAAGGAAATTTGGAGGAATTAGTTCGTTTGATAAATTCATTCAAACGAAATGAAATGAAAACTTATCAATCAGAATAACGCCCATAGTAAGAATAGAAAAAAATATGTAAGTACGCTATGATATATTTAAATCGTATTCTTTGGAAAAATAATAGAATAGCGGGAATAATTCATCTTTGAACATTGCCTAAAGCAAATGAAAAATTAGCTAACTTGAAGTTGCAATAGCTCAGCTTGAAATCAATTTGGGTTATCCTGAAATTGGCTTAAGTGATTCAAAAATTACGATAATTTAGTTTCGGCTGTCTTAGAATCCGTTATTTTCAAAAAAATAAAATAAAATAGAAAAAAGATATATTCGAGTAGAAATTACCGTCAAAAAAGATTGTTAAAAGAGAAAAAAATTAATCGTTAAACTGTATCATCTTTTGCTTCCGTCACACTTCCGTGAATTTGTATTTGGCCGAGGATGACCACTTTTGTCATCAAATCAATATATCATTAAAAGGCATCGGAAAGTGATATCATAGAAGGCATTTTATCACTTACTTAATGATTAAAATAACACAAAACTTGACGTTATTTATCTCGAAAAACAACTAATTCCAAAGTGAGTAAAATTAAAAAATTACAGTTGGCATATATTGATGTGTGCGATAACTTATCAAAAATCTTTGTGTTATTTTGAAAAGAATAAAAAAGAATTAAATCATTTTTAAAATATATCATTAATTACCTGAAATATCCAAACTTGTCATTGTGGAGCTAATTGACATGGCAGCGATTAATAATGGTCCCAGGAGATTTAAGTTTTGCTACCTAAGTAAGATTAAACTTAGAGATAAAAAGATTAAGATTAAATCTAATTCAATTAATGTTTATTGATATTAAAATAGATTAGAATTTCAAATATGCATTTAAGCATTTCATTTTGAGCATGCTATTCGTCATTTTAATTTTCATTTCATACAATTTTTATTTATTTTTTATTTAATAATAATTAAACATACTTAAAAAATTCATCAGACTGTAATTGCACGTGTAATTCATTGCACATGGAAGTGTTCCCATTTGTATGTTACATTATTAAATGCCGGCATTGCATTGCCGGAAGCATTGTAGCTGCCGGAATGAATACACTAATTAAATTAGAGAAGATGCAAATTCTGATTGCTGTGAACATTCCTATCGGTACATCATATGCTTGATCCTGTTGATAAAGATGTTTTATCGATCCGTCAGGATATAAACGGTTTTCATTAAGAAAGGGTTAATTAGCTTACCTTGAGTTCACTAATAAACATCGATCCAGCCATAAGACCGGTCATGCCCAGAAACAAGACCGCATATACGGAAATAAAATTTCCATTGCACCAAGCTGGATATAAAATTCCCGATATTGTTGCTGCTAAATAAGCAATGAATTTTTTTCCCTATTTTAAAAATCTGAAAATTTAATTAATTTAATAATTCTATAAAAAATTTTATCTTTGAGATATTTTTTCGATAAATAATGTTTTATTATTGATAATCAAGCAATATTTTATGAATTTCAAAATAATTAATTTGTTTAAATTATTTTATTTTTCATTAATTATTCCTATTTTGAAGACAATTATTACTAACTACTAACTGTTATAACCAGCCATTCCGTAGTTTTTGCTCACCATTTGATGATAACAATAATGATCCGAAGCACCAATCAAGAAATGATAAATGATAAAGAGAAAACATAACAAGTGCAGCAGTCTCCTCCCTCAATATTTGGTCAGCAAGTGTTATTAGCATCAGAATCGACAAATTACTGTAAAATTCTAATGAAAAATTTATAATATTTTTATTAAATGGCATCCATTTTATTATTGTCAATATAAATTTAACTAATTCATATTTCATTTCAAATCATTGGGGCCAGAATTTGGTGAAAGTGTTGGAGCAAATTTGATTTTCTTTTTGTTACGATTTAAACGTTAATATAATAGTATAACTAATTTTTCTTTATTATTATAAAAAGTTAAAGAAATCAAATAATTTTGATGAAATTTATGATTCATATGAGAAAATAATTCGCCAATTGCAACAAAATACAAGCAAATATACATAACATTTGTAACTTTCATATTCAATAAAGTTACCCAAACTTTTATACTTTTTTAATTCATTGCATGAATAAATTCTAAAATTGTCCAGCTGACCGATACCAAGAAAACGGATTTTTGAATTGGTCAGTGTCATAACCGCTTTCGGCCATCAAATCAACAATCGTTTCTGCTACACGACTACATATAATGATGCCATTAGCATTTGCCACTGCAAAAATTGCTCATACTTCCACCAAATTCTGGCCCCAATAATTTGAAATAAAATATGATGGCATCAATTGTTCCATGATAAATTGATAAATTTCAAATAATGACTCAATAATTTCGATCAATTTTGTTACCTGAGCATACCTTGATATTGCATATAATAGTATAATCCACCCTTCTTGCATTTACCATTTGAGCTAATTGATATGGCTGTTACGATGCACATCAATGCTGATAGTAAAACATTGCAGTGTCACCTACTATAATTATTCAAAGATTTCAAAGTCCGTGCAAAAAACCAGAAAAAAATGATTTACTAAAAATTAATGACAGATATTATTTTTCTTCACCAAGAAGCAAAAAAATAAAAAATTTGGAATAAAATACAAAGTCAGTTTGATCAGCAACCCAACTGTTGTGTAGATTAAGCAATATTTGTAAATACCGGAATGAAAACACTCGAAAAACACAAATAAAAATTTAATATTAATTGTTATTAACATTAAAAAGATTATCGCTGTTTTCTATAATTTAAATTAAACTTGCATGAATGGAATTTAACTTGATAGAAATAAATGAGCGTG